CCCGGGGGGGGGGGGGGGGCCCCCTTTTAAGGGTTTTGCCTTCAGGGAAAAAAAGGAGGGGCTACAATCCCCCCCCCCCCCCGGGGAATCAAGGACCAGGAAGAGAACAATGATTAAACTTTCCGAGGAGGGGTCTGGAAAGGGGAGAAGTAAATTTGGGGGTCAGATGCCGAGGCGAGAAGGCTGATTGAATGGGGTGTGGGGTATCCGGAGGGACTCCACGGGTTGATGGTGGGCTGCCCGGGGACACTTCATGGATCGGCCATTCAGTGCCAGGAAAGACTTCATGGACCGGCCATGAGATGGCTGCAGAGACTGACCGTGAGGGACTCCACGGATTTACTCAGGGCTGCCCAGGAGGACTCAGTTTCCCAACTGGGAGGTAACCTGACAGACTCGGGATGTTGATCGCGGGGTGCCCAGAGGGACCGCATGAATGGACTCCGGGATGCCCAGAGGAAAGGACCACATGGAGGGTCCAGGACGTGGCCTTGGGGCAGCTTCTTTTGCCGGCCCCAAATGGGAAAAGAAGAAGCACGTGAATGGCGGAAAGCCGGCGTCCGTAGCAGGTTTCGCAGACTCTGGAGGCGGCGTGAAAAGAGGCAGCAGCCTAGAATTTTTACGTGGTCACAAGCAATCTACCTACTTCCAGCCTCCCTTGAATTCTGTTGACTCATATCTTAACTTCTGCTACTGCATTTTGCCGAAAATACGACCTCCTCCAAAAGTCCCAGGTTCATCTTTACCCATGAGCCCAATGTAAGCCCTAGCCCCCCCACCAAATAAACCCTAATCAAGAGCTCGCGCACTCCAGGGGGTGGGGCAAGGCACACAGGTAAAAATGAAGCTGTGTGTGTGTGTGTGTAGCTGCTCTACTTATCCCGCCCACCCCGACATCTGCCTTGCCTTGCCGGCCCACTTCTGCCGCCCACTTGAACGTCTTCCGTTGTCAAAAGCCTTCAGGAGAAATCTCTGCAGCTAAGAAACGGGCTCTGGATTGATGTGCACCATGTCACCTGGCCGAGTTTCGCCCCCAGAGGCCTCCTGGAAAGGCCCCAGAGGCTCCGTTGTCAGCTGCAGAGGGCTTTCCAGAAGGTCTCCGACAGTGAAATGGAGGCTGGGGGCGACGCACAAGAAGCGGGGCGGCTGTGCTGGGTAGGGCTGTTGGTGCCGCCGCCGCAAGTTGAGTCAGTGGAAGACCCCCCCCTGAAAATAAGACCTGGTGCCTTTTTTGCTGGGGATATGTATGTATTAGAGCCGAGGTGGCGCAGTGGTTAAATGCAGCACTGCAGGCTACTTCAGCTGACTGTTATCTGCAGTTCGGCTGTTCAAATCTCACCGGCTCAGGGTTGACTCAGCCTTCCATCCTTCCAAGGTGGGTGAAATGAGGACCCAGACTGTGGGGGCGATATGCTGACTCTGTAAGCCGTTTAGAGAGGGCTGAAAGCCCTATGAAGCGGTATATAAGTCTAACTGCTATTGCTATGTATGAATAAATGACTGGGTCTTATTTTCGGGGAAACAAGAGCAGCAGCAGGTACCAACTGTTAGCTGGGAAGACCCCCCCCCCCCCCCGGCTGCCCCCGGGTAGGCTTTGTAGCCATCCATCCCTTTAGGTGAAAGATTCCTGTGTAAAGGCTTTTTTTGGCAATCAATCACTTTAATTGGAGCTGCATGTGTGCACCTGTCTTTGGCATCTGGGTAGCGCCCTCCATCTGGAGGAGGGTCTTCCCAATTTCTCCAGCAGGGGACCAGCGTTCCCTCCCCCACCCATTTTAGGGGTGGAAAACAGGTCTCTATTTATTTGCAAGTCACGCAACGAAGTACCACCTGCCTGCCTTGGCAGATTGGGCTCAACCCTGGGGGAGCCTCTCTTGGGGTACCCTATTTTGGGGGTGGCTAAGGAGAGGGTGGGTGGGTGGGGCCCTAACCTTGGACCACCAACAGTGCCGCTGTTGCGGAGAAGGGGAAGACGTGTGCAGAAGCTGATTGCTGAGGCGGCCAAAGGAGCAGTAAGGAACCTTTTAGTGACAGACTCATTACAACGGAAGAGTCAAATCAGTGGGCTGGGAGAAAGTCAGTGGCCACCTTAGAAATGGGGGCAATTTGGGGCAAGAAGTCTAATCTTTTTTTTTTCCTGTAGGGCTTATTATTTTGGGGGGGATCAAAGGAATTCCCTGAGGAAACTCGCAACCATAAACGCAAGGGAAAATAAACCGACAAATGAACAAATGAATTCACAGCAATCAATCATTGTGCGTTGAAGTCAATAAAATAAAGAAAGCTGGGAGAAAAATCGGCAGCCCTCGACTTACAACTGCTCATTTAGTGACCATTTGAAGTTACAAGGGCGCTGAGAAAAGGACCGTTTCTCACACTTAATAATCATCTCATTTTAACGATCCCACAATCCTTTGTGGGGTGGAGTCTGGGCAATTGAATGAAGATGAGTGTGGGTTGGCCGGATGCCCTTCCTGTTGCCAATGCGGATTTATATTCATCAGACATAATCTCAAGGTGCCTCTACCTAGGATCAAATTCACAGCCTCCTGATTCTGAGTTGAGAGGTCCACACCTCTGGGCCACACCACCACTCATTTCTCACACTTAACGTCCGTTGCAAAACCTCCACGATCTCATGACTAATATTCAGAGGACTGTCGATTGGCTCGTATTTATGACGGTGGCAGTGTCTCAGGGTCAAGTGATTTCCTTTTGCGACCTTCCCTTGAAGGGAAGCAAAGATTCACTACGCAACTGTATTACTAACAACTGCAGCAAAAACAGTCTTGAAATGGGACAGACCCCACTAGGCCACTGTCTCGTTTGGCAACACAAATTTGGGGCTCAATTGTGGTCGTAAATCGAGGCGTCCCTGTGTATCGGGGACATTTATCCCCCGGGGGAGGGCCTTCTCTGTTGCAGCTCCAGCCCTCTGGAACGACCTCCCCGTTGAGATCCGGACCCTTACTTCCCTCCTGGCCTTCTGTAAAGCTACTAAGTCCTGGCTGTTCCGGCAGGCCTGGGGCTGTTGAAGTATCCAGCCCCACTTTAATTGTGAATGTTGTTGTATTTTAAATTTTGTATTGTCTTATTTATCCCCCTTCCCTTTTTTATTGTAAGCCGCCCGGAGTCCTTCGGGAGTGGACGGCATACAAAACTAATAAACTAAACTAAACTATTTACCGCCCAGAGTTATTTATAAAACCGATAAGGCGAGACATAAATGAATCAACAGTAGAGGAAGTAAATCTGGAGAAACTTTGAGCTGGCAGACAGCAGGTGAACAGAACTGAGTTTTAATCTTACCGCTTCCTTCTCTCGGTCCATGATGGTTTCCAGCTCTTCAAAATGACGAAGTTTGATCTCCAGTTTCTTCATCTGGGTTTCCACCAAGAGGGCCACCAGAGATTTGATCTTCCGTTCCTCCACGGCAGCCAGATGCTAAGGAAGAACAGAACCCAGTTTACCCGGAGGCCAAACCAGCAATATGGGGTTTTTTTGGAGCTCTGGATAGGTATTTTATCCCTCGGTTATTTAAAATAGTTATGTATTATTATTATTATTATTTTGCATTATCTGATAAGCATCTCTGTCAGGTTTCTGCAATTCTTGCGGAATTTGCTTTCAACGAGAGGTAGATGACCCTGGTGAAGATTGCCGTGCGGTGCCTGAATTTTGAGAGGACCAACGGCACAGCTGGGGGGATCTGCCTGGCAACCATTTAAGGCTGAGATATATTTTTCCTCCTCTTCTTCTTCTTCTGTGGGATAAACGAAGGCCCCGTTACATCCTTCCTTGTCACTAAGATGAAGTAATCATCTCAAAGCGGCTTAATAACTAAATCTCAAAACTCTTATTAGCGGCTTTGAGACGATGCTTGCGACCACAAAGGGACGTACGAGATTTCCAAAAGGGGGAAATTATTTCATTTATTCGAACGATTCCGAAAACGGGGTTTTGAAAGGCGAGCGATGTCTGGGGGAGGCTGGGCGGGATGGTTTTGAGATTAGGAAGGACGCGGAGCTGGAGTGACGGGTTTATGGGGGTTTAATTGGATGAAACCTGGATTGGATTCTCAGATACAGAAGCAAAGCGTGCAGGAGGAATTAGCACGGGAAGCCCTCCACTTACAACAGCTGGCTTACTGACCGTTCAAAGTTAGAAACGGCACTGAAAAAAGGGAATTATGGCCGTTATTCAAACTTACGACTGTTGCAGCGCCCCTGGGGTCAAGGTGATCAAAATCCGGACCCTTGGCAACTGTCTTGTATCTATGACCGTTGCAGTGAGTGTCCCAGGGGGATCACGAGATCCCCTTTGATGACCTTCTGACAAGCAAAAGTCAATTGGGGGAGGAGCCAGGTTTATCTGACCGCTGTGTTGCTAACGTAGCAACTGCAGTGATTCACTTAACCACTGTAGAAAGAAAGGTCGTAAACAGGGACAAAAATTCATTTTAAAAAAATGTCTCGCTTAGCAACAGAAATGTTGGGCCGAGTTATGGTTGTAAGTCGAGGATTAGCTCGTTTTCAGAAAAAAGCAAATAGGAGATGGATGGTTAAGACTTCGCCTTAGGGCAGACGGTGTCCAAACTTGGGAACTTTTAAGACTTGCGGACTTCAACTCCCAGAATTCCTCAGTCAGCTGGCTGGGGAATTCTGGGTGTTGAAGTCCACAAGTCTTAAACATTCCCAAGTTTGGACACGTCTGCCTTAGGGCATCTATTGCTCTCTCTTCAGCAACATTTTGCCTCTAGAGCGCAGTGGACACATTTTGTCCATTTTAACCTCTTATCTGCATTATCCTCGATTTATGACCATTCACTTTGTGACCGCAGTTGGAATGGCCCCGAAAAAAGGGACTTCTTGACGCTTTCCACACTTACAACCACTGCAGCATCCCTGGGATCAGGTGATAGCAATAGCAATAGCAATAGCAGTAGACTTATATACCGCTTCATAGGCCTTTCAGGCCTCTCTAAGCGGTTTACAGAGAGTCAGCATATTGCCCCCAACAATCTGGGTCCTCATTTTACCCACCTCGGAAGGATGGAAGGCTGAGTCAACCCTGAGCCGGTGAGATTTGAACCGCTGACCTGCTGATCTAGCAGTAGCCTGCAGTGCTGCATTTAACCACTGCGCCACCTTGGCTCTGATCAAAATTCAAATGCTTGGTACCTCACTCATATTTATGATGCTTGCAGCGTCCTGGATGTCATGTGGTTTCCCTTTGGCGGCCCTTCTGACAAGCGGAAGGGCACAAAGGGGAACCGTTGTTAAGTGAATTGTGTCCCATTTTATGAACTGTCTTGCGCCGGTTGTTCAGTGAATCACTGTGCTTTCTAGGTTAGTTGCATGATTATTACATGATTCAGGAATTCAAGAATCATGCAACAACCGTGTGACTAAAATGCGCTTGTGATTCACTTAACAACCGGGGCAACAAAGTTGGTAAAATGGGACAAAATTCACTTAACAGCCGTCTTGCTTAGGAAGGGAAATGTGGGGCTCAACTGTGGTCGTAAGACGAGGGTTACTGTATGGGAAAGCCAGTTCTTGGAAGCTGTTTTGCCAGCAATGCAAATAACCGAAGGAAATTTATCTCGGACACAGTCAGTGGCGCTTTGATAAAAGCGCTTCACATGAGTGTATTCTTCACTTCTGGCTTTGCTTATATTTGTGTGCCGAAGAAAGGAAAATGTGTTGTGGACTTCTGGTGTGAAATGATCCTCCGGGACATCAGCAACCATCAGCGCCATTGCTAGGAGCAGAGCCCGAGGAGAAAGGAGCATGGATATCCTTGGCGGAAGGGATCTTCTGCTCATGAGCTCAGAAATGGCAGGAAAAGGAAGAATCGTCGGCACGCATTCAACCCAAGGGGAAAAAAGAAGAAGGAAGTTTCTCCTTCCATTTCTCGCAGGGGCTACACAATGGGCTCTTTTCAGACCCACCACACACCCCCTTCCCAGTTAATTGGAGCTGGAATGCGTTAGCCTCCCTACACACACACACACACACACAGACACACGCACAAAACTGTCAGTGGAGCTGCGAGGTAAAGAAAAGCTGGGCTCCCGAAAGAAATGAGCCCATCAAGGCCTCACGGAGCAGCTGCCAAACTTTCCAGAGGGGGTTCCGTCAGCCAGCCGACAATAGCGCACACACAGATTCCCCTCCGCGCAGCTGAAGTCGAAGCGCACAAACGGAGCATTGGGAAGCGTGAAGAAACAGGAAGAGGACCGAAAAAACAACAACAACAGCAACGACACAACACGACACAAAGCAGCGGAAACGCAGAGGCTGCGGAGGCCTTCCGCGGGACAAACCTTGGCTTTGGTGGCGGCTGAAGCCAGAGCGGCAGCTGCAGCCGTGGCGACGTTCCCTTCGGAGAGTTCGTGCTCAGAGCGCCGCTTCCCGCCACCGACTTCCTTCTCCTTGCCGACGTCGAAGTTCTCCTTGTTGTCATCAGCGTTCTTGTCGTCTGGACAAAGGAACCCCGGTTAGCCTCAGGTCACCCCCCAATTCCCACGACTATCTTGGGACTTCCCAGTCTGGGATTTTAAGATTAGGCCGAAGAAAACCAGTCTCGTCCCAGTATGACCAGCAAGAGAGCTCTGCTCTGCTGTGGATCGCTAGCGAACCTCTCTATACAGGTAGCCCTCGACTTACAACAGTTCATTTAGTGGCCGTTTGAAGTTACAACAGCATTGAAAAAAGGAACTTAGGACCGTTGCAGGTTCCCATGGTCATGTGATCAAAATTTGGGCACTTGGCAACTGGCCTGTACTTACGACCGTTGCAGTGTCTCCTGGTCACGTGACCCTCTTTTGCAACCTCCTGATTAAAACAATCAATGTGGGGGGGGGATTCACTTAACAACTGTGTTACTAGCTGAACTGCAGTGATTCATTTGCTAACTGTAGCAGGAAAGGTCGTAAAATTTTGGGGCAAAATCCATTTAACTGTTTTTTGCTCAGCAATGGAAATTTTGGGCTCAGTTGTGGTAATAAGCCGAGGACGGCCTGTATCTCACGTCCTTTCTACGACCCCAATTGAGCCCCAAATTTTATTTCCCTAAGCGACATTCCCTCCCCATTTTACGACCTTTCTTGCCAGCATCGTCAAGCGAACTACTTAGTAGCAGCCGTTGTTAAGCAGGTATGGCTTCCCCATCAACTTTGCTCGTCGGATGGTTGGCACAGCAACTGTTGTAAATGTGAGTCAGTTGCCAACTGTCTGAATTTTGACCACGGGGCCACGAGGATGCTAAAGTGGCCATTGACCAGAAATCACCTTTTTAAAACGTGCTGCTGCAACTTTGGTCACTCAACGAACTGCTGTACGTGAAGGGCTGGTCATCAATCCAGAGCAGGGTAGGTTTCACCCGAAATCTTCTTGGCTTTGCCCAATTCATTTTTTTCAGATCCGGGCCATACTGACGGCTTAGCCATAAACAAAATAATATTCCCCCCCCCCCCCCCGCCGGTCTCTTCAACGTTTCAGAAGGGAGATGAAAAGCGTCTGTAAGTGAAGCATGCAAGGTTTCCAAATCAAGATTTACTGCCTGGCGCTGTGAGGCTCGTGAAACAAACGGCAGGAAATTTATGGCTGTATTCTATGTTAAGGGGAGGGTGGGGGGGTGGGGGAAGTACGTCTGCTCAGGCCAAATTTATGGGGCATCGCTGGAAACAATAGAGAAGACCTGCATGGCCTCTTGTGTGTTTGTGCGTGTGTGTCTGTGAGAGAGACCGCAAACACACACCCCCTCTACCTTGTTTCGAATCTTGAGACACGTCGCTATCTTGCTCCTTTTCAGCGATTCTCTCCTCATCTCCTTCTGTTAGCTTGTTTGCGTCTATTTCGTTCTCCCCTTTGCTCTCGACCTAAGACAGTTTAGAAGAGAAAAAGAAGGGATGATTAAATTCAAATTTAAAAAAAAAGAAAGAGGAAAAAAAGAGAATCAAAGGGCTACAAGTTGTCACACAGCAGCCGAGTTTTAAGCGGAAGGGGGGGGGAAAAAAAGAGAAAGAACTTAAAGCTCTCAGATCCTGATAGGGCTCCTTTAAGACCTGGCTAGAGGGGGCTTTATAAGAACAGAGTTGGAAGGGACCTTGGAGGCCATCTAGTCCAACCCCTTGCTCAAGCAGGAGATCCCCCCAGACCGTTTCAGACAAACGGTTGCCTAATCTCTTCTTGAAAAACTTTTGTGATGGGAGCACCCAGAACTTCGAAAGGCAAGACGTTCCCTCCCCTTTTAGGGAGGGAAACAATATTTATCCTCCCTTCTGTTTAACAGCCGGTGTGAAGACAACGGGGGGGCGTTACTTAAGCAGGAAACAATATGGTTCCCTGAGAATATTAGTACTAACTGTTTGTATGTGTGTCGAATGTTTGTCCCTGGTGCTCTGTGACCTTGGTTGTTTTCTTGCAGACATTTCACAACAGTACTAGGTAACATCATCAGTGCTAGGAGGAGTCAATCCCCACTGCCTTATAGCACTGATGACATTACCTAGTTGGGTTGTGAAATGTTTGCAAGATTTCAGATTCAGATTCAATTTATTTGTATGTCGCCCTTCTCCGGGAGGGACTCAGGGCGGCGAACAACTCAAAAGGGGAAAGGGGATACAAACACAATGCATATAATTAAAATACACATACAAGTCGAGAGGGGAGGGGAACTCATCAACCCCAGGCCTGCCGGCACAGCCAGGTTTTGACGGCTTTC